CTCTCGCTTCGCCCAGTCTCTGTGTCGTACATGATGACGTCATTTAACACCTCACCATTTTTATCGAAGCCGCCAACGACGATGATCACATGACCCCAAATGACTGTAGACATAGCAAAAACAGGCTGAGGTAACGATGGACATGGCTTGAACTCATTCCTAATCAAATCATAAACAACAACGCTGTCAAGAGCATCTTTACTATTGATGGTTGTTGTTCCACCCAAGATAAATAGTTTTCCATTAACAAGTTCTGCTCTGTGATATCTTCTTGCCTCAGGCATTCTCGTCAGCAGCTTGGCAGTATAAGGTGGGGTAAGAGCAATCTCATAAATGGGATTCCATGTTTTTCTTTCATTCCTGTCATATCCTCCTATTATATATAATTTTCCTTGATAAACTATGACGTCATGAGCATATAATTTGACAGGCAGTTTACCATCAAACATTGTCCATCGCAAAGGATGTTGGTTCATCTTCAAAACTTCGATCGTGTCAGTTCCTACTTTACCATCGGAACCACCAACGACAAGAACGTCATTGTTGTAAACACACGACGCTGATGAAGTTCGAGGATGATTCAATTGTGGCAGTGGAGTTGACTTTCCTTCTACTATGTTGTATTTCTCGACTGTATTTAATACCCTGTCATCTCCTAGGCCATACCGACCACCGATAATAATAATATCTTGGTTGTTGACTGGACCTGCGTGATTCATAGCGCTGGCACCATTCTTGTTTGTATTATTTCCTTGAAATGTGCGGTTCATCATCATCATTAATATTTCAAACTTTTCTCTCATCTCGTTCATACTTTGCTAAATTAAAATTAATTTTTCTTTAATCACGGGAATTAGCCGATAATAAAGAGCTTAAGCATGCGACGTTTTTGTCAACACGGACGTCACGCGTACAAGATTTAACGGCTAAAAATGGCGTCAGCCGTTCTTGCTTAAAATCTACGACGGGAAACTGCACGGACTGCGGTTTCTGATTTTAAACAAAAACGGCTGACGCCATCTATAACGCCAAAATTTTGTACGCGTGACGTCCGTGTTGACAAAAACGTTGCATGCTTAAGCTCTCTAATGCATTGATATCACCGAAGTTTAAATTACCTCCAGCAATCTTACGACTAGAAATGTTTCTACGCCGAGTCAAGGCGTAGGTCCTGGGGAGAGTAAGCAGGTCCCAGGTAAGAAAAGTATTAGCGACTTTTGAAGTTCATCAATTATCCCTTATACAAGATTGACCATGCATGTACATGTCACTGATCTCAAAATTCGTGGACCGTCACTGACCTCAATTCATCTTATTTCAAAGAAATGAATTACTAAAAGATTTGTCCTACCTTCATCTCATCCTGATTTCTCTTCATCTCATCCTGATTTCTCTTCATCTCATCCTGATTTCTCTTCATCTCATCCTGATTTCTCTTCGTCTCATCCTGTTCACATTCAATCGCAGCCACGTCAGATAATCAGATTAATAATGATACGTTTCAGATTCCATTTTTCAAGTACGATTTAATTTTTCCTAACTTGCTTCGAATTTAAAACAAATAATAACTGAAAGACTTGTCTTACCTTCATTTCATCCTGATTTCTTTCTATCGCAGCCATTCTAACATTTGTTTCATCCACATTTTCCTGATTCAAAAATAGAATTGTTATTGAGATGAACTGTGTAAAACTCGACAAAATATGAGCGTAAAGGACGTTGAATAAATCCAAACATTTCATATTTCATTTTGACTTACCTTGATATTTTTACAATCGTGACATTTAGCCAGTCTGAATTGACAGAAATTTTTCTCGTGAGTTTCAATATCTCTTCTATTGATCTCTGTTTCACGTCCTTCATTACGACACATGACAGGACCATATCCACATTTCTCGACATGTCTTGGAAGATGTTCCAGACGAACGTAGTCAGGACATCCTCGTTCATGATGATCACACTTGATTTTTAGACCTTCCCAATAATTCTTCAGAAATTTTGTTGGTCGTCTCAAGGTTTCTTGAGTCAGAGGATCTCTGCAAACTGGACATGTTTGAGAGTTTTGAACGAGATGTCGTGATATATGAGCGAAACAAAATATATGATCTTTGTGTTGGCAAAGTCTGGGATCCTTTGGAACTTCCTGACAAATGGAACAAAGCAGATCTTCGTTGACTTCTCCTTGAAAACGACCCACGTCATAACCTTGCAAATCATCTTCCCATCTCGCTGCCATGAATATGATCTTTGGCCGCAAAATCTGGGATGTTTTAGTGTCTCTTAGGAAAAGAATAAAGTAAAACCATGTCTAACTCGACTTTAAAACAGACTAAATTGAATCATGCAAATTCTAGGACGTAGCGAAGTACTTATTGCTTCCTAAACATCTTATATCAATTCCTACGGCGTATTCTGAAACCTGCGGAGGTCTTAATCAAAACCCTTTTGAAATTTAAATCAATTTTAGGTCTTGATCAAAACGTGGTCAGGTTCTGGAGCGTGATCAAGTTCTGGAGCGTGATCAAGTTCTGGAGCGAGATCAAGTTCTGGAGCGTGATCAAGTTCTGGAGCGAGATCAAGTTCTGGAGCGTGAAAGTTCTGGAGCGTGATCAAGTTCTGGAGCGTGATCAAATTCTGGAGCGTGATCAAGTTCTGGAGCGAGATCAAGTTCTGGAGCGTGATCAAGTTCTGGAGCGTGATCAAGTTCTGGAGCGTGATCAAGTTCGGGAGCGTGATCAAGTTCGGGAGCGTGATCAAGTTCTGGAGCGTGATCAAGTTCTGGAGCGTGATCAAGTTCTGGAGCGTGATCAAGTTCAAATTGAAATTCAATCATGCAATGGTTGATAATGATTTACCTAACAAGTTATATGTCGCTAAAGACAGAATTATGTAACTAAAGACAGAATTTACCATACAGAGACACTCGATCAATTTCCCTCCCTCTCGCATGATGGTTAATGAAAGCAAATGTCTGTGAAATATTCGTAAAAACCAGTCAGGTAGGAATTTAACTCTTACACTTCCTGCTTCTGCTGTGTAATTGTTTGGTTATTTTGATGTTTCTATAATGAAGTCTAAAATTATTTACAAAATAGGGTTCTGTGTTATTGAGAAGAGAGCAGAATTTATATTTTTAAGACCTAACTGAGGTAGCAGTTAAGAAATATTGAGAAACTGTCGGTTCTTTCGCAGAAATCGAACCTACGTCCTGTACGACGGACTTCAAAGTATATAAATTCCCCCTCGATTTTCTATATGTCAAAACCTTCTAATATAAGCCGAATTCATATTAGAGATGGGAAACTCGTCTTAGACGGGAAACTCATCGAAGACGGGAAACTCCGGCGTCTGATGTGAATTCGGTCGCAGACGGGTTTCTTGTCTGATTTTTCCCGTCTAAACAAACGGGTAAGTTGGACGGGAATCCCTTCTGGACGAGAAACTCGTCTTAAATTCGCATTTAGACGGATAAATCAGACGAGTTTCTGAAATGTCAACACGGTCAAGGACGGAACAAGGGTAAAGCCCGCCGCACAAGAGAGCTATCAGCTGAGCTAACGACCTCGCGAGGCAGTTAACTCAGCCTGAAAACTATCCGCACACGATAGAAACTTGCCTCTCGAGGCGAATTCCTCACGAAAAACTATCCGCACACGAGAGTAACTTGCTGTTCTAACAGCCTCGCGAGGTCTTTACCTCAGCTACCAGCTCTCGTGTGAGGCGCGCTTAACTGAGAAAATAAACAAAATTATTATCGTAATAATTACGATACCCTTCAAGGACGGAACAAATTACCCGACGAGTTTTTACCATAATTCGGCTATTTATCTCTTGAACGAAATTCCCGAAATTATAACATACAAGTTAGAAGTATTAGAAGTTAAAGTTGAGCCTTATTCTGATAATTACAAGACTATTAAATCTAAGGTTAGCGATATACCCTTCAGCGTTAGACAAAGAAAAGTGTAAAAGCTGATTTACTGAATATAGGATATCTCGAAGCCACTATTGACCGCGATAAATCATGCAGCTTTGAATGATTAAAAATGAATTAGATTAAACTTACGAAAGATGAAGGATTTCCACTAATTTCTTAACTCTGCAAGTTGATCTCAACGATGTCAATAATATTTTATGTTGAAGACAACTCCTTGCAACGTCGCAATGTTTATTTTGTTAAAAACATCGCATGATTTCATGGTAGACTTGATCTGCTTCCTTATATGGGGATAACTGGTTCATTTTCACAATACCATTTTACCATCCTGCTGTGAGAATTTCAAATATCCTCAGACATTTGCATTTTTTTGTTATTTCAAGTATCAAATTGATATTCCAAGTATTATTAAATGCTTCATCTATTTTTGGGTAAATATTGAGGTTTTTGAGGTCTCTGGTTTGTGAGTCGCATCTTTCATCCACAAAACACCTTCGTTCAATCAAAATAAACTAGTTATGATTTAGTTCACTTCTGTTTTTGTCCACCCATTGTTGTCTACCTTGTAAATGTAGAATATTCCGGAAAATGGTACATTCGACCATGGTCGAGTAAAAGGTCAATTATACTAAATATGTTATATTCGAACTTGATAAAGTCGAATATACCGGAATATGGTATATTCGACCTGGTCCAAGTTGAATATACAAAAATAAGGTATATTTACCCTTGTTAAGGTCCAATATACTAGACATCTGGTAACAGCAGGGACCGCGAAGCAGTTTTTGGATGGGGGGGGGGGCTAGCGAGCGCCAAAAATGTCAGCCTTTGGGGGACGGTCTGACGTAAAGTTACTCGTCACAAATCATTTGAGATTTGGTTTCATTTACAATTGTTTAGTTCTGACTGAACTCAGTTTCCATATTGTATCCTAGTTTTATAAATGTTCATTATTATTGTCTTTAATTGTAAACAATTCTCAAATGTTTTAAAGATTAGTTTCAATATCAAGTAATATATACGAATATTGTGTCTTTATCTACAATATTTACAAATACACGCGACTACATCAGTTATAAATGATAATTATCACAATATCATTTTTATTACAAAACATCTTCAATCATCCAGTTTCATAAAAGATCAGTGGTGGTCAGCGGCACTTAGAGACTTGAAAAGCTAATTCATGTAATCATTCACTGATTGTTCATTTATAACTTCGTGTTCATCTCAATCTTGGACAAAATGACAAACTCTTTTACTTCAAATTTTTCATCAAATTCTCCTGCAAATTTCACAAATATTTATTAAGTATTCAAGTGTTCAATCAACTTTATGTTTTGATTCAACATTTGAATATTTTGATATTCATATTATAATTCTGCCAGTCTCATCGTCATGTTATGATTTAAATGAAATTTCTATCGACGCAGAATGAAAGCGTTCAAAACATATCCTAACCTCCTTTATTAGATAATTGAATTAAATTTTTGATATTTTAATTACAGAGGTTTAACTACAGCAGTAGCATTGCGTCTTTTTTGTGTCATTCCTGGCAGTTCTTTCCAGCCAACTCCACCAATGATGAAAGATTCCACTGAGTTGAGATATCCCTGCTCACTATTCCATCCACCAAACACGACAATGACGTCATTTATGATCACGACAGAGCTGTCCATCCTTTTGTAAATCATGGAGGGCAGTCTCTCGCTTCGGCCTGTCTCTGTGTCGTACATTATGACGTCATTTAATACCTGGCCATTCTTATCCAAACCACCAACGACGATGATCATATGACCCCAACTTACTGTGGACATAGCAAAAACAGGCTGAGATAACGATGGACATGGCTTGAACTCATTCTTAATCAAATCATAAACAACAACGCTGTAAAGAGCCTCTTTACTAAAGCCGGTTGTTGTTCCGCCCAAGATAAATAGTTTTCCATTAACAAGTTCTGCTCTGTGATTTCTTCTTGCCTCAGGCATTCTCGTCAGCAGTTTTGCAGTATAAGGTGGGGTAAGAGCAATCTCATAAATGTCATTCGATGTTTTTCTTTCATTCCCGTCATATCCTCCTATTATATATAATTTTTCTTGATAAACTATTACGGCATGACCAGATAATTTAACAGGCAGTTTACCATCAAACATTGTCCATCGCAAAGGATGTTGGTTCATCTTCAAAACTTCAATCGTGTCAGTTCCTACTATACCATCGAAACCACCAACGACAAGAATGTCATTGTTGTAAACACACGATGCTGATGCTGTTCGGGGATGATTGAATCGTGACAGTGGAGTTGAATTTTGTTCTACTATGTTGTATTTCTCGACTGTATTTAATACCCCGTAGCTTTTTATGCCATACTCACCACCAATAATAATAACATCTTGATTCTTGACTGGAACTGTGTGATTCATAGCGCTAGCACCATTCTTGTTTGTATTATTTCCTTGAAATGTGCGGTTGATCATCATCATCATCATTATTTTCTCAAACTGTTCTCTCATCTCGTTCATACTTTGCTAAATTAAAAATGATTTTTTTTTAAAATGAATTTAATCAATTTAATGAATCTAATGAATTTTAAAATGAATTTAATACTTTTCTTACCAGGTCCCAGGTAAGAAAAGTATTAGCGACTTCTGAAGTTCATCAATTATCCCGGATACAAGATAAACCATGCGTGGTCATGTCACATTCGTGGAACGTCACTGAACTCAATTCATTTTATTTCAAAGAAATAAATGACTAAAAGACTTGTCCTACCTTCATCTCATCCTGTTTACTTCCAATTGCAGTCATTTGAACATTTGTTTGATCCTGACTTGCTTTTATTTCATCCACATTTTTCTAAGTCAAATTATTTTTTTAATTTATTAATTATTTATGATAAGTGTCAGATTTCAGTAACCCATGCACAATTATTTTTTTTAACAACAATTCAATCCATTCTTATTGAAACAAATATTAACTGAATGGTTAGTCTTACCTTCATTTCATCCTGTTTTCTTTCCAATGAAGTCATTCGAACATTCATTTCATTCTGACTCATTTTTAATCCATCCACATTTTTCTAAGTCAAAGTAAAACTGTTGTCATACATTAGACATAATACCGGTTACAATTCGACAAACTACGATTGATCAGAGGTGTATCCAGGATTCAAACATTTTTTCACGAAAAAAGCTTCCTGATTTCTGCTCGGAATCTTCCCTCCAAGGCCTGTTCTGCGCTGCGGAAATTAGCCATTACATTATTTAGAAATTAGCCGATTAAATCTCGCCCTTTTTTTTTAGAACGTTTTTATAAAATGCGAATTTTATCTCTAAATCCAAACATAGGGCGCTTTCCTTTATACGGTAAAAACGGCCAGACCGGTCCTGTTGTATTTCAGTACAGACAGATTACTGGTATTTTAGAGTGTTTTAAGAAATCTGCATTCAAGTATATCGTTATTTACATCCGCCTAGCACGAAAAATGCAGTTTCACCGCTACATTTTCTAAGAAATACTCTATTACAATTCAAATTATGACCTGTCTGGCCATTTTGCGCCCATAGTTTCCATTTCGACTCACCTTGATATTTTCACACGTTTTCTCGTGATATTCAACATCTCTTCTATTAACCTCTGTATCACATCCTTCATTACGACACATGACAGGAGCATATCCACATTCCTCGACATGTCTTGGAAGATGTTCCAGACGAACGTAGTCAGGACATCCTCGTTCATGATGATCACACTTGATTTTTAGATCGTTCAAAAAATTCTTCAGAAATCCTGTTGGTCGTCTCAAGGTTTCTTGAGTCAGAGGATCTCTGCAAACTGGACATGTTTTATGTCCTAGGAGCCATCGTGAGATGTCAGAGAAGCAAAATATATGTTCTTGGTTCTGGCAAAGTCTGGGATTCTTTGGAACTTTATAACAAATGGAACAAAGCAGATCCTCTCTGACTTCTCCTTGAAAACGACTCACGTCATAACCTTGCAAAGTATTTTCATATCCTGTCGCCATGAATATGATTTTTGCCAAAGTCTTGAATCTTTAGATGCCTTTTGAGAAATATAACAAAGTCATTCAAAACTTCGAACAGACATATACAATGCACAATACTTTCTATTATACACTTTGAGTTTATTTGCTGTAAAAAAGCGGAAGACCTCCCACCTCGAGCTCAATTAGTTGTCGGGTTAGGGTTTAATGAAAAACTCGAGCAGAATTTTACATTTAAGTAATAGAAAACATTTTCCGTGTTTCTATACAGTTTTAGTATACACCCGACTATCGTCTATTACAAATCCTACATTCTGATTGGCTACTCAACCATCGTCTATTCGTGATGGTGCACGGTTGGGAAAATTTCGCTAGCGCGACCGTAAAAAATTGAATTATTTTTCGGTGTGATTGCGGTGTTTTGATTATTTTCTCGAAATCAATATATCTAGGTACAGGGTGTATACTAAAACAATTAGACAACTCGCCTTCGTTGTCTATGAGCGAATAGTCAACTCAGGCTTCGCCTTCGTTGACTATTCGCTCATAGACAACTCGGACTCGTTGTCAAATTGTTAAATAGAAACACGCGTGGGATTTTGGGAGAACGAGAAATAATCAGTGGGAAAACGAGCCCTTAGGGCGAGTTTTTCCACGTTATTTCGAGTTCTCCCAAACTCCCACAAGTGTTTCTATAACTGTATAGAAATACAGGAAAAAATGTTTTCTATTTCTTTTATAATATAACTCAATAAAAAGATTTTGTACAAATATTATAATTCGATATAATTACAAATTCTCATTACATTACTTCGCTTGACGAGTTCGGCAGGAAAATTCCCGTGTTTCTATACAGTTATAGAAACACGCTTCTCGACCAATCAGCACGCGCGTACTATAAATGTTATATTATAATATATATTGTATACATGTAAACACACGACAAAGTATCTAGACGAATTATGTAGACGGATATGCGTCAAGACGAAGAACTCTTTCAAATTCGTGGAAGATGAACTATCCCTCGCTTGCCCAAGTTCGTCCAGACGGATGATCCGTTTCTAGTATAAATCATCGAGCCAATCTCATGCACATTCGGTCTTGCAAGTTGACAGGTCACTCCGTAGCTCAGTGCTCAGAAGAGCTCTTCACCAGCATCGTACAGAATATAGCTTTAAACACTGTCGCAAGAACAATATTTTATCTCTAGAGAGAATTCCCCGAAATTAAAACATGCAAGTCGGAAGTAGCTGAAGTTGAGGCCTTTTTTCTGATAATCACAAAATCCAGGTTAGCACACAGCGATATATACTTCAGCATTACACAAACAGAAATCTAAAAGCTCATTTAAACGATACGATATCTCGAAGCCACTATTGACTGTGACAAATCACGCAGCTTGGAACGATTAAAAATGAATTAGATTAAACTTACGAAAGAAGAAGGATTTCCACCAATTTCTTTACCGTGCAAGTTGATCTCAACGATGTCAATAATATCTTATGTTGAAGACAACTCCTTGCAACGTCGCAATGTTTATTTTATTAAAAACATTGCATGATTTCATGGTAGACTTGATCTGCTTCCTTATATGGGGATAACTGGTTCGTTTTCACAATACCATTTTGCCATCATGCTGTGAGAATCCCAAATATCTTCAGACATTTGCATTTTTTTGCTATTCCAAGTATCAAATCGATATTCCAAGTATTATTAAATGCTTCGTCTATTTTTGGGTAAATATTGAGGTTTTTGAGGTCTCTGTTTTGTGAGAACCAAAAGTTTGGATGAAGTCTCATCTTTCATCCACAAAACACCTTCGTTCAATCACAATAAACTAGTTATGATTTAGTTCACTTCTGTTTTTGTCTACCGATTGTTTTCTACCTTGTTAACGTTGGTCGAGTATACCGGAAAATAGTACATTCGACCATGGTCGAGTATAAGGTCCATTATACTAAATATGGTATATTCGAACTTGATAAAGTCGAATATACCGGAATATGGTATAATCGACCTGGTCTAAGTTGAATATACAAAAATAAGGTATATTTACCCTTGTGAAGGTCCAATATATACCAGACATCAGGTAACAGCAGGGACCGCGAAGCAGTTTTTGGATGGGGGGGGGGGGCTAGCGAGCGCCAAAGATGTCAGCCTTTGGGGGACGGTCTGACCTAACGTTACTTGTTACGAATCATCTGAGATTTTGTTTTATTTACAATTGTTTAGTTCTGACTGAACTCAGCGTCCATATTTTATCCTAGTTTTATAAATGTTCATTATTATTGTCTTTAATTCGAAACAATTCTCAAATGTTTTAAAGATTATTTCAATATCAAGTAATATATACGAATATTCTGTCTTTATCTACAATATTTACAAATACACGCGACTACATCAGTTATATATGATATAATTATCACAATATCATTTTTATTACAAAACATCTTCAATCATCCAGTTTCATAAAAGATCAGTGGTGGTCAGCGGCGCTCAGAGACTTGAAAACCTAATTCATGTAATCATTCACTGATTGTTCATTTATAACTTCGTGTTCATCTCAATCTTGGGCAAAATGACAAACTCTTTTACTTCAAATTTTTCATCAAATTCTCCTGCAAATTTCACAAATATTTATTAAGTATTCAAGTGTTCAGTCAACTTTATGTTGTGATTCAACATTTGAATATTTTGATATTCATATTATAATTCTTCCAGTCTCATCGTCATGTTATGATTTAAATAAAATTTCTATCGACGCAGAATGAAAGCGTTCAAAACATATCCTAACCTCCTTTATTAAATAATTGAATTAGTTCTTTGATACTTTACCTACAGAGGTTTAACTACAGCAGTAGCAACGCGTCTTTTTTCTATCATTCCTGGCAGTTCTTTCCAGCTATCTCCACCAATGGTGAAAGATTCCACTGAGTTGAGAATTCCCTGCTCCTTATTCCATCCACCAAACACGACAATGACGTCATTCATGATCACGACAGAGCTGCCGCCCTTTTTGTAAATCATTGAGGGCAGTCTCTCGCTTCGCCCTGTCTCTGTGTCGTACATTATGACGTCGTTTAATGCCTGGAAATTCTTATCCAAACCGCCAACGACGATGATCATATGACCCCAAGTGACTGTGGACATTTCACAATCAGGCTGTGGTAACGATGGACATTGATTGAACTCATTCTTAATCAAATCATAAACAACAACGCTATCAAGGGCATCTTCACTTTGGTCGGTTGTTGTTCCGCCCAAGATAAATAGTTTTCCATTAACAAGTTCTGCTCTGTGATTTCTTCTTGCCTCAGGCATTCTCGTCAGCAGCTTGGCAGTATAAGGTGGGGTAAGAGCAATCTCATAAATGGCATTCGATATTTTCCTTTCATTCCCGTCACATCCTCCTATTGTATATAATTTTCCTTGATAAACTATGACGTCATGAGCATATAATTTGACAGGCAGTTTACCGTCAAACATTGTCCATCGCAAAGGATGTTGGTTCATCTTCAAAACTTCGATCGTGTCAGTTCCTTCTTTACCATCGAAACCACCAACGACAAAAACGTCATTGTTGTAAACACATGATGCTGATGATGTTCGAGGATGATTCAATCGTAGCAGCACAGTTGACTTTCCTTCTACTATGTTGTATTTCTCGACTGTATTTAATACCTTGTCTTCTCCTAGGCCATACCGACCACCAATAATAATAACATCTTGATTGTTGACTGGACCTGTCTGATTCATAGCGCTAGCACCATTCTTGTTTGTATTATTTCCTTGAAATGTTTGGTTCATCATCATCATTATTCTCTCAAACTGTTCTCTCATCTCGTTCATACTTTGCTAAATTAAAAATAAATTTTCTTTAATCACGCGAATCAGCCGATAATGCATTCATATCACCAAAGCTTAAATCACCGCCAGTAAGCAGGTCCCATGTAAGTATTAGAGACTTCTGAAGTTATAGTTATATAATTCATTTTATTTCAAAGCAATGAATGACTAAAAGACCTCTCTTACCTTCATCTCTTCCTGATTTCTCTTCATTTCATTCTGACTTGTTTTCATTTCATTCTGATTTTTTTTCATTTCATCCTGTTTTCTCTTCATCTCATCCTGTATACTTCCAATCGCAGTCATTTGAACACTCGTTTCAACCTGACTTGCCTTAATTTCATCCACATTTATCTAAATCAAATTATTAATGTTTTCAGTCAAGCATGTGCGATTAAAATTTTGAACAACAATTCAATCCATTCTAATTTAAAGCAAATATCAACTGAATGGTTAGTCTTACCTTTATTTCATCCTGTTTTCTCTTCATTTCCTCCAGTTTTGTTTCTATCGCAGTAATTCGAACGTTCGTTTCATCGACATTTTTCTAAGTCAAAGTGAAATTGTTATTGAGATGAATTGCGTACAACTTGACAAAATACGAAGTGTAAAAGATATTGAATAAATCCGAACATTTCATTTTGACTCACCTTGATATTTTTACAGTCGTGACATTTGGCCAGTCTGAATTGACAGAAATTTTTCTCGTGAGTTTCAATATCTCTTCTATTGACCTGTGTATCACATCCTTCATTACGACACATGACAGGAGCATATCCACATTCCTCAACATGTTTTGAAAGATGTTCCAGACGAACGTAGTCAGGACATCCTCGTTCATGATGATCACACTTGATTTTCAAACCTTCCCAATAATTCTTGAGAAATCCTGTTGGTCGTCTCAAGGTTTCTTGAGTCAGAGGATCTCTGCAAACTGGACATGTTTGAGAGTTTTGAACGAGATGTCGTGATATATGAGCGAAACAAAATATATGATCTTTGTGTTGGCAAAGTCTGGGATCCTTTGGAACTTCCTGACAAATGGAACAAAGCAGATCTTCGTTGACTTCTCCTTGAAAACGACCCACGTCATAACCTTGCAAATCATCTTCCCATCTCGCCGCCATAGTTCTGCTGAATTAGAAAAAAAGCATCTCAAAATAATATTTTCATGT